AGCAGTTTTAATTCACTTGCTGGCTTTGTCTGGACTTCTTGGTTCCGGTTCTCACTCAGCTTCTGTTCTACTGGAGTGGACACGTGCCCTATGGCAGTAAGGGTCCTGTTCCATGACAGGGTGGGGTGGCGAGTAGCTGGGTGTTCAAGACTTTGAGCTAATGCCACACCTGCTGGCCCTTGAGCCCAGGGACTGACTTCAAAGGCCTGGCCCCCTCGGGTTCCTTTTCCTCTTCAGAAAAAGGGGGGCTTTGAGGACTGGCTCAGAGGGAGGCTGGGAGGATTCAGTGGGAGCTGCTTGTGGGGTGCCCGGCATGGTGCCCCATGGCACAGGGGCCAGGGAAGGCTGGCGTTCCAGGGGCAGAGTTCATGCCCTGGCCCAGATCTGCTGAGTGGAGCACATGACCCCGGGTAGTGTAAGGTGTGTGTGTGTCCAGCAGAGATGCCTGGAGGGGTAAGGGCAGGTCTATTCGATTTTAACCCACTTTGCTGAACTATTTGAAGCTGTATCTGTGCTCCATGAGATAGAGCGCCCTGATTGATTAGCAATGGCTACTGTGGGTGAGAGGGGAACTGGGCAGGTTTGCCACACCTGCATATGTTCTCTCCTAGTCTAGTGAAAAGGCCTTTACTAGTACTTAGAGAATCACCTTTATTATTTCATTTTTCACATCATCATCATCCTTATCACTTTTGTTAGGAAAGAGCAGAGGAGAGGAAGCAAAGGTCTGCAGAGTACCCAAAATAGAAATTCTGGGCCTCCCTGGTGGCACAGAGGTTAAACACGGTGTTATTAAGCAATTGGCAGCCACTGCAGCATGACTTCAATTCCCCGGCCAAGGAGCTGACCCACATGGCGCAGCAGACCTCTCCTGACCCGCCTGGTGCTCCCCTCAGCAGCGTATTTCAATAGATCTGCCTGTCCTGCTCCCCACTCTATCTCTGGTGAATCCTCTCAACTCCCACACCTCTGGCCTGTACCCCAGTTCTTTTGTGCGTACATAAATAAATCTTTTAAAAAGACACATACATATAAACTCTGCTGGGATTGTAACTAATGCTCCTTCTGCAGATATCTCCATTCTTTTGGGGTGTGAGCTAAGCTTGGCTGTGAAATCTGGAAGGATCTCCGGTTAGGACCCCGTCCGCACCATGGTGGGGACGGGAAGGCAGTGAGGTGAGGGTGAAGACTCCATCACTGGGGGAGGACTCTTCTGGGCCCTCATAAAGGTGAGTGGAAAGGAGTGAATCTCGGTGGGAAGGAGGTTTGATCTCCCTGTCTGACTCTCAAGCCTGCCCTCTTCCAGGCAGAGCCGGCCAGGAGCCTGGTGGGGGAGAAAGGGCAGCTCGAATGACCCCCCTACTCAGCGCTGGCGTCGACGAGGGTTCACGTTGAACTCAGTGCTTTGTGACTATTACTGTTAGTCCTCTGCCCTCCTGTGAGTTCGGTGCCCCTGGGATCCCATTGGCGGAGGAGTGGATCAACGATTTAGTGATCTCTAAGTGGCAGAGCTGAGGGCTGACAGGGACTCCTATTTTAGGGTCCACTCCTGGAACCTTTCTGTTTTACAGCTTCTCCAACACCCTCCTTGAGCTCATCTCTCTGGCTAACTGAGTGCTGTTGGGTGACTTCTGGAAGGGTCACTGTGCTGTCGGGTTGGACCAGCTTCTTTCTCAAAGTTCTTGGACTACTCTGGATGTCATTCTGTTCTCTGTTTTAGTGCGGCAAGGAGACAGAGGAAGACAGTGGCTGAGCGAGGTCTAGTCTTCCTGCCCCTCTGCCTGGCATTGACCTGGTTTGTGAAGACAGTTGCGTTGCGCTACGTTGCATAGTTCGTAGGCACTGGTTTAGAGTTGGCATTGAAGGATTGTCACAGTGGTAAAGTCCCTTATGAGGGGCTGGCTTGGAGACGCCTGGCGAGAGCGCTGCTTGGGGCGGGAGACGGCATCTGTGTAGGGCCGTGTCCTCTGCAGGTAGGTTTCCGGAAACACGAGACCAGTCTTCTCATGGTGAGGTGCTCCGGGGAGGGGCCTGTGGCTGGGGGCTGAGGTGAGGGAGCCGGGGTGCTAACCTTCCTCACCAGGGCGTGGCCCGCTTGCTCTGTGGAAACAGGCAGGCGGTCTTACTGTGCCCTGTAAGTTGCCAGTTTGTTCTCTTTTTGAGACATGGTGGGGGACTCGTGAGCTCAACCGGTGGTTTTGTGGGGGGTATTGTCCAGGGATCGTGGCCCTCTGGGGGTCTGATCTTGGCGCTGAGGGGCCAGCACTGGGGGTTCTGGGGAGCTTTATCTCTTGCTGCAGTGAGCCTTCACTCTCCCATGCCATCACCTTCCCACTGCACCCACTGTCCAGAACCTGTCCCACCTGGGAGGAGCCTGGAGAGTGTGGGCCTGGTGGTTGGGTCTCCTTGCCTTTGACCCTGCCTGGAAGCCTGATGCCAGAGCTGGTCATGAGTCTGTTTCACAGTACATTTGTAAAGCTAGAAAAAAGGCGGGTCTTGCTTTTGTGCAAAGGAATAAGCTCTTCTGAGAATTCATAGCCCTGCGTGTGGACACACTTCTTGTTGGACAGTGTGGCCCAAATATCATGTCCTCCCACCCCCGCCTCCGCGGGCGCCTGTCCAGCATGCAACCTGCACGGCCGTGGCCGGTGGTCTTCCCGGCGGCTTCCTGAGGCTGCTTCGTCCTAACTCAGGAGCAGTGCTGCTGTTTCTGGCCTGACAGCCAGAGGCTGGGCTCTTGGTTATGTGCCGTCTTCCTTGTTCCCCGCCTGGGCTGGGTACGAGGGTTCTCCTAAGGATGAGCTGATGTGAGCCCCTTGCCTGGCTGCCCACCTCTGTTGGGGCAGGGATACCTCCAGGGAGTCCTCCTGAGGGGCGGGGCGGTCCCTGGGGCCAAGGTCAGCAAACCACAGAGAGGCCCCTAAGACCTTGAGAGGACCAGCCTGAGATGGGTCCAGCTGAGAAAACTCCCCAAACAAAAGCCATTAGTCTAGTAGTTCTTATACTTTTTGGGGGGCCGGGGTTCTAGGTCTTTTTGTTGAAAACTTTGAATTTCTCCAACCAGCTGGTGTCGGGCCACCCTCCTCTTCCCACCTCAGCATGCCGGTCCTATCCAGAAACAAAGCCTTGAGTCTTCCCAGAGCCCCATAGTGGCAGAACTCGGGGCAAGCTTACAGCCCCGCTGCATGGGGTGACGAGGCAGAGGGACCCACGGAGACCTCGCTGGAGGTGTCCAGTGGAGCGGCAGCAGTCTCTGACGGAAGCAGTGTGTGTGTCGTGCTCAATACAATAATAATAAGCCATTAGATAGGTGCGTACACACCTATATGAGTAACGAAATGTGAAGGGCTGGTTTTCAGGTGTGGCAATGAAAGCTGTTAACAACTGCTCCTTTCATGCATGGCTGGCTTCTGATCGCTTTAAGCATTATCCTCCTGTGTTTCGGAGGTTGTCTGGATGGAATCAGCTTAGCGAGTAATATCAATTTTGCCTGACGCGAGGTCTTGATTCATATTGACTAAGCTGCATATTTGAAAACCCACCCCAGCTGTAACTAGCTAAGTAAAACAATGGTTTCAGTCCCAGCCCAGATTGCCTCTGCATTTCATTGTCTCGATTCCGAGTTTCTGCTCTCGGGGTGCAGACTTGGAAAAGAGCGAGTGCTTGGTTAGCATTCCTTGGCCGGTGGCTCACGGCCGTGGATGTCCCTGTCGGGCACACTCTTTCTGAAAGTTAAAAGGAAAGACGTTCTGTGAGGCTCTGGTCGGGTGGTGAGACCAGGACATCCGATGAAGGGGGCATCACCACGTGGAACAGGACTTGTTCATTCTGAGAACTGGTCCCGCCATGGCGCCAAATCCATCCGAGTGCTTGGGCCACTGCTCCAGCGGTGGCAGTCGTCACCCCATTGAATCCTCCTGAACTACACCTGACTTAGGCACCATTGTTGTCGCCTTGATGGAGGTGGAGCCGCTGAAGCCCAGGTGTGAAATCATTTGCCCAGGGTTATTCAGAGAAGGGGTAGGGCCGGGGTGAACTCCGGGCTGACTGTACGTCCACCTTGCTTCCTCCTCTCACTGCTTGGCTGCCCGGTGGCTGGACTCTGCACCATGTCCGCCTTCTGCCAGTGGGGTGGCTGTGTCCGGGCCCCAGTTGCTTGGGTTCTGAATGGCATCTCCTGCGCCTCAGTGTACCGTGGTTTTGGAAGCAGCCTTCGAGACAGGCAGTCCTGGGCGTCTGCCCAAACTCAGCATGGACTCCTGGTCGGTCCTTGGGCACATAGCTGCACCTCGTGAGAGTCTGTGCACCAGGGGGAAATGCAGCGGTGCCTGGGAGAACTCCACACAGTGCTGGGTCAGTGTGCCCGTGTGGACACTCTTGCAGAGAACTGGGTGGTATGCGGAGGCTTCGGCCTGCATGTGTGTGGAACTTCAGAGGCCGTTAAATGTGAAAAATACTGTGTGTGCACATTTTTGGCTTAAACAGAGTTCCATTTTACAAAGTCCATAACCCAGCTTTAATATTATTACGTGCCCCAGACTGGGATTAATTCCAGGACAAGTGCTTTATTGTACTGTATAGAGTTTCTCCCAAGTCTGCCTAATGCCTGGCTTCCATCTCCATCAGCTGAGTTTCTCAGACTCGGGTATCGGGTGGTGGGGACACCCAAGCTCTGCCCGGCATCTTTCTGCGGGCTCTGGGGTGAAGAGGCCAGTTGCTTTCTGCTCTCTCTAGCCCCTGATTGCTGACCACTGGAGAGTTGACCTCAGCCGGTCCTGAGGTCTGTCTGTCTCAATGTGGGGGTGATCTTGTGGATTTCATGGAACCGTGGAGAAAGGCTTCCTTTTGCAGTGGTGGTCGATTGGGCATTTGGTAGGAAGATGGTGTCTGCAGGAGCAGGGAGCCATCTGAGACTTTACTGTGTTCTCCCAGTGGCAAACGACTCCATCTCAAGGGGAAACTGATCATAGATAACAATGGCCTGTAGAGTGGTGTGGAGAATGGTCCTGATGCTGTATCTGGTTCAAGATGGTGCTGGGATTGATTAGCGATGTCTGCCAGGGGCACAAGGATGGGGAAACCATACTGATACAGCACTCATTTGTTATTCATGTTGTATTCTGATTATTTTACATCTCTGTGAAACCAACAAAGGCCTCTTTGTAGACACAGCTCCCACACCCTGACCAAGGGCCCTCACAATATTCTTTCAGCCTTGCCCCGTGCCCCACTCTGTGACCTGTTTTTATAGCTTCAAAACTCACAGGCTCATCTCTGTTTTCTCTTTCAGTTGAAGAGGGGGAGGCCTCGGACTTCTCGCTGGCCTGGGATTCCTCCGTGGCAACATCAGGTAAATGCTTAGGGGCTGGTGGGAGAGTTGCAGGGCTCCTTGGGACTGCCCAGGAGCTTAGAAAGCCACCCAACTGGTTATGGAAATTATATTCTTTGTGTCACATTCCTGTCTCCAGTCCAGACTACCCTATGCAACACGATTTTTATATCAGTTCCATATGACCAATAAAATCTATTACATACAGAGACTAATATGCTCTTATTCTTCCGAGGCCATGCTTCCTTCTTGTGGGCACATTCAGATCGGCCACCATACCCCCTCGGACAGGCTTTGAAGCTTCTGCCTTGGGCTTCACATTCATTCCAGTCTAATTGCATAAAAGCACATTAATAGGATATTTAAACTCCAATCGAAATCAGAATTCCTGTATTTCCCTCCTGGAAAGGGGCTGCTTTGCACTTTCAAGCTGGAGGGACCGAGCTCATGGCTCCAGGGGGTAGTAGGCGAGGAGCAGATGTGTGGGGGAGTGTGGGGCCTTGGGCATCACTTGGCTGTTGGGGATCTGGGTTCTCAGCTTATTCTGTTCTTACATAAGCTCCTTCTCTGTGCCTCAGTTTCTCCAGCTGTGACATGAGGTGGATGTGTGAGTCTTTTCTGACTCTAAAGTTGTATAATTTGGTGGTTAAACAAAGGCTTCTTTCCATAGAACTTGGGATCGGAGCTGGCTTCAGGTCCTGGCCGTTCTTGAGTGAAGGGCACAGCCCACCTCTTTGTTCAGCATCATCTAGCCGGCACCTCTCGTGCAGCGGGACCCTGGCAGGTGCCAAGTCCTCCTCTCTTGTTCCCTGCCCCAGGACCCTCACCGGCTGGCTCTGGATTCTTCGGGGAAGTCAGTGTAGTCTCATAGACCTGTGGGTCTGAGGGTACCTATGAGGGAGTATTTAGTTCGACCTCTTTCTCTTCTAGATGTGGAAACTGAGGCAAGGAGAAAGGTTTGCTCTGGGTCAGGATTTCACAAAATGTGATGTAAGGCTCCCATGAACATTTAACACCTGAGTGGTTACATGTCTAATTTGTGATTTTACAGGCATTTGTGACTTAAGATGATGCTGAAGTCATTTCAGTGATAGTATATAAGGCTTAGAATTAGCAGACATCATGAGGCTTTACCATTGACTAAATCTGGGAAATCCTGGTATTGGCTGGACAGAAGCCAGTCCTCAAACCCGGGTCCCTGGACTCCTGGGCCAGGGCTCTTCCCAACAGGACCTAGATGCTGCTTGGAGAGTCCGGAGGGTCCTTGCTGGGCCTATTTGTCCTAGGTTTGGCTGCTGTTGTGACTGCAGATGCCTGACCCTTGGTGACAGGGTTTCCCGCCGTGGGCTGGGGGTGGGGGCTTGTCTGAAGCTTGAAGCCAGCATGGGGCATGCTCAACTTTTTGGGAAGAGAGTTGGAGCTAGGACTAGCCTGGGTTCTGCACTGAGTGGAGCAGGGGGATGGGCTTCATAACTCCTGCCCTGGACTCATCTGTGCAGGGGGAGATTGTCCACCCCCCATAGTGAGACTCTAAATGTCCCTTCTCATTGAGGGAGCCTGACAGCTATGGGGGAGCATGTGTTCAGATATGCTGCCAGCTTCTCAACCTGGTGCTGTCCCCCTGAGATCCTCCCTCTTAGCTGCTTCCCCAGTGATGCCAGAGGACAGGTGGAGACAGCAGAGGGTACAAGGAGGGCCCTGTGTGGTCATGGGGGATGGAGAGCCCTGTGCAGGGGTCAGGTGCCCCGGCTGCATCCCTAAAGTGGCCAGGTGTCTCCTGCATTGCAGAAAGCAGGGGTGATGCCAAGGGGCTGTGTGGGAGCCCTGTTGGTCTGCAGTTCTCGGGGTCCACCGTGGAGTGGCCATCCTTAGGGTCTCTCTGGAGTGGTGGAGGCCATGGGGTTTGCCATTTCCCAGCCAGGAGCTGAGCATGCTCCACACACGTGTGAGAAGGGGGTGCCTGACTCTGTATGAGGACCCTCTAGCCCTTGGGGACCCCACGGTGCCAGTCAGCTTTAGATGGTCTGCTGGGAGATGGGTAAGGGGAGGGCAAAGCTTCCGGGCATGGGATTATCCATAACCAGGCAATGGATTGCTTTGTTTTCTTTGGCCTGTTTCTAGTGCTTTTTTATAGTGCATGCCTGTGATAAATTTTCCTTCCCAATTTTGTTGGGCTTGGGCTATTAAAGTCAGCTTGTATTCCCTGAGCGTGGGGCCTGGGACATGGCGTGAGTCCTGGGTGGCAGGATGCTGGCACTTTGGGGGGCAGCCCTGACGTGGGTGACGGCTCATGTCTTGACACCGGCTGGTGCGTGCCAGGCTTGGGGCAGATGCTTTTCCTCAGTGTCTTGTGGAGCCATCATGATAGCCCCGTGTGCTGGGTGCTGTTTCCAGCAGCAAGTCCACCTCCATGGGCTGGTTTGGGGGCAGCCATCTGGTGGGGGACAGGGCCAAAGGCCTGGCTGAAGCTGCTTTAGTATAACGCTTTTCATTAAGCTGAGAACATGTCACTTGGCCGTATCAGAGAACGGGGCAGGTGCCAAAGAAGATTATGGGGGAGCAAAGCCTCCTCTTGGCACTGCTACTGAGAACTACCATCCTCATTTGGCGGATGAGGGAAGGAGGCTTGGAGTGGTGCAGGAGCGTGTCCACCACCCCAGCCAGTGAGCTGCGGAACGGGGGCTCGAACCCACATCCCGCTGATGATTTAAGCGCTTCACTGGCATTGGGAGAGGCCAGCAGGGCACAGACGGGAGGGTGAGGCATGGTGGGCACTTTGGAAAGGTCCCCGGTAGTGCATGGTGGTCACTGAGAGACTTGGCTCATCAGACCAAAGGAATCCAAGGTGGGTTGACAGTATTTTACCAGAGGAGTGGGGTGCTTTAAGATGTGGGCATTTCCTTCCGTGGGAGCCCAGCCAGCCTGGGCTGTGAGCTTTTCACCCATCCTGTCCCTTGCCAGCTTTGTCCCAGCTCTGGGAGCATGGTGGAGAACTCCGGATAAGAAGCAGAAGGCGCGTGACATCCTCTGTGCTCGCCTCTGCCCAAGGGGCCCCGAGGCCATTGCCTCAGGAACAGCCTGCCCTGCTGTCCACATGGCCCAGCAGTGAGGGGCACAGAGGATCAGCCCACAGCAGTATTGTGCAGCCTGGTCAGGGTTGGGGAGTCCCGCCCACTCTTGCCCCTGCTGGTGGCCACAGAGACCCCCGGGCCGAAGGGCACTGCACTGAGTCACCGTGCCCCTTAGGGGTGGGCTTTCAGTCAGCCCATGGGATCCTGACTGTTCTTATCCATAAAGTGGGAGACGAGGAACCAATACCTCACACCTAGGTAATGTAAGTGGAGAACTTCTTAGCTTGTTTTGTGCCAAGGGTGCTTTTGAGCATTTGATGGAAGTGTCTTCCGAGCACTGCGTTTTGCATGTGATTTCAAGGGAGAGTTTGTGGATTATCCCCAACCTCATCTTCTCTAAGGTTCTAAGTGCGAACATCTTAGAAATGTGAAGGTCCTTTGAGAATGTTCCATGAGGGTCACAAGCGCCCCGCTGAGGCCGGTGGTGACCCAGGTGGTGGGCGGGCAGGGGAGGAGCCATAGTGAGCTGTAGTCCCTCAGTGCCAGGCCCCAGGGCCCTGATGGCCAGATCATCTGCGTTTTTAAGAAGCTAGGAAACAGAATTTTTATATGAAATGGAAAAATATTAAGAATTCACATTTTCTTAAAGCAGCTTTGTGGACATGTAATCCCCACATCATATAGTTCATCCTTTGAGAGGGTACAGTTGAACGGACGTTAGTATATGCAGGCGTCACGCACCACCATTGCTGTGAGCAGCTTAGAACATTTTCATGACTTCAGAAAGAAATGTTGTATCCCAAAGGCATCATCCCCTGTCCTCCCGTAGTCAGTGAACAGCCAGCCACGTGGACATCTCACGTAAGCGGAACCATGTAGTATGTGGTCTTCTCTGATGCGCTTTGTTCATTTCGCCTAATCTTTTCAAGGTTTTCCATGTGTCAGGTCTTTGTTCCTTTTAAAGTCTGAATAATATTCCACTGTATGGATATGGAATTTTGTTTGTTCATTCATCTGTTAGTGGAAGGGGGCTTTCATCTGGCTGCTGAGAACTGTGCTATGTGAACTTCTGTAAACCTGGTTTGGTTTTGGGGGCCAATGTTGGGGCATGTACCTAGAGGTAGAATTGCTGGGTCCTATGCTAACTCTGTTTAATCTTTTGAAGAACTAATTGCTAAGCTTTCCCATAGCGGCTGCACTATTTCTTATTCCCACCAGCAATGAGGTTCCAGTTTCTCCATATCTTCACTCACATTTGTTATTTTTAATAATAATAATAATAATAAAAGCTAGCTTTCCTAGATATAAAGTTGTATCTCATTTTGGGCAACTCATTTTTTGAAAACATTATTCAGGCTGGGCCCTCCCTGGTGGCACAACAGGTTAAAGTGCAGCACTATGAAGCTCTCTGCAGCCACTGCAGCATGAGTTCCATCCCCAGCCAGGGAGCTGACCCACATGGTGCAACAGACCTCCCCTGTCCCGCCCGCTGCTCCCCTCAGCAGTGTATTTCAATCCACTTGCCTGTTCTGCTCCCCACTTGTCTCTCGTGAATCTCACCCCCCCATACCTCTGGCCTGTACCCCAGTTCTGGAGGCATACATAAATAAATCTTTAAAAAAAAAAAAAAAGGAAACATTATTCAGGCCAAAGAAAGTCCTTCTGCTGGCTAGTTTTGGCCTGGCCTTCTATTGGGAGGTTTCCAAGTATGATTTTACCAGGGGGCCACTGCTTGGCTTGGCATTCAAGACCTCTCTGTTCCCTTGCTCCTCCTGGCCTTCCTCCCTCCTTCCTGCCCAGGCATGAGGCCACCCTACTTAAAGCACTTTCTCCCTTCCCTCAAACCCTTTGGAAGTGACAGGTGTCGGGAGGGTTGCGAGCCCTCTAAGTGAGAGGAACCAAATCAACCCAACAATCTGAACCTCCCTCGCTCTGGTCACCGAGTCTGAA